GTCGCCGTGGTGCTGCTCTGCACTGCGCTTACCTCACCTCAGCAGGCTGAGGGGAGATGGCTGGCAGTGAGGTGTTGCTAAGCAACGGGACGTGGCATGGCGGCCCACTCCCTGCCGGGCCACCTGATGGTCTCTGGATTTGGAGGTAGCAAGGGCTACAAGGGGCTGCCAGAGATGGCAGCTGCCCTGTGGATGCCCGGGATGCACGCTGCGCGGACTGCGGGCAGGTGGCTCTGAGGGACTGGGTTACACCTGCCTGCAGGGATGCTGAGACCTTCCACTCTCCCTGCAGGCTCTGCGTAAGGCTGGACGGGAGCACAGCTCGTTATGTGCCTCCAAAGCACAGCTGATTTCCACAAAGGTGAAATTAAGTGTCCTGACGTGAGCACGGCTGAAAAGAATCCCTGGAGCTGAAGTCGTGCTCTAATTAAAATAGATCTTCCTCCAAAGTAAAAGAGCGAGTACAAAGTACTGTCACAGATCTACTAGGCGTTGTGAGGGAGACGAGAGACGTACAACCGACGTGTCCTCAAATCTCTTGCTGAAGCTCCTTTAATCCCCTGTATTCCACATATCAGAGCTATCGCGCCAGCCTGGGATCTGCTTCCAATTGGTCAATAGCAACAGGAAAGTCTTTAAACCTCCTTTTGATCCAGACATAAGTCACGTAAGATCTGCATCTTGCAGACCAGCCCTCAATTCTCCCAAGACTGCCTGCTGTAATCCGGAGATGCCGTACACAGAACCAGCAGGGCTGTGTGCTACAGGAAGCCTTCTCGCGTCTGGAAACACCGCTGACTCTCAGCTCCCATCACTTATTAATGAGTTATTATTATTCATTGTTGAAATGCTGCCAATTTGTATTATACAGGCAGTCAGGCAAGATGATCGTATTGGGCCTCGGCAGCTTTAGTCTGTGAATGAGCCGCTGAACGTGCGCCACGCTGATTTCCATAGGGTGCAGAATCTAGGAGAGCTGCTTCTAATCTTCAGGCATCGTCGCATGTGCTGACAAAAGAAACGTGGCTTTGCGTAAGTCTCCCCTCAAACATCATGTGAATGCGAGACCCTTAATGCCAGCCTGTCTCCAGGCTGGAAGCTTTTGCAGCACACAGCAAGTATTGCACGAGGCAAGTCAAAGGAAAGAAGGTGAAATAGCTTTGTGTCGTGCATTTCTTCCTGTACTGTTGAATGCAAGAGGCCAGCTGAGCCTCTTTCCAGGAGATGTACTGCTTGTTCTGGAAACTTTTGGGTTAGGAGGAGCACGACCGAGACATGGGAGGTGGTGAATGTAAGTACCCCCTGATCACCACGTACACACAGCCTTTACACCTTAGAGCAGATGTGCTTGTTCACACTGTTCTCCTGCAAGCCTTCTGACAGTCTCTCCCAAGCCACTGCAGTGCACTCGGAGCTGAGATCGGGTGAAGACATTTTAATGGGGGGAAAAAAACCATCATTTTAACAAAAAACAACCCCACACCTTCCTCCCTCACACAAAGTTACTTTGCACAATCTAGACTCCTATTCTTGCTGCTATTTTGAAAAAGCCTGGTATGATCACAATGGGATGTATTGCAAGATCGGCACGGTTTATTTTTCATAAACATGTGTGAAATCATATCATGCTCTAAGCCAATCCAAAATTGCGTATGTTCTTGTGATATCCAAAGGAAAGAAAAAAAAAAGAAAAAGAAAAAAGTAATGATACCTACCCAAAGGCTTCAAAGAAATCCAAGAGGCCTGTGGGCATGCAAGAATTTATGTGCATATAACAACGCGCATTAGCACTGATGGGACTTACAGCACATCAATCTTTTGTACGCCCAGACGGGAACGCCGTGAACCAATTATTCCCTGACTTATATACAATATTGATGCAGGTGACAAAAGGCTGCAGAAGGTACAGCTTGGGGAAGAATCGGAACCTTTGGCTACTACTTTATTTGATCCTTTTAAATCTGCTCTGCCACAACCACCAAAAATAGTCTGGTCTCATTGAGCTGACATCCATAGGAAGGGGTGCAAACTGAGGATCTGTTTCTCTCTTTGGTATAGCCTGTGCAAACCAGAGGACTCTGGGCAGCCAGGCCTTCAAATGGACCACTCATCCCTTCTCTGAGGGCCCACGCAAAGTATACGTATGACAGTAGCATTAGCAGCGTTTGAAGAAACAAAGATTTTGCTTTCCTCTTTCATCTGTTTTATAGTTCCGATGATTTTCAAGTCTGACTATGGCTCAGTGCCACGCAGGCCCACGTTCTTTGTTAAATCTTGTTTTAGGGTACAGTAAGTTAATAACTCCAGAGCTCACTGACTGCTGCAGCAAAACTGCTTTTGACTCATGGGCCAGCCTCGTACATTGTAATAGAGTTGATTTACCCTATAAGCATTTCGAGTGAAGTATGTGAGAGTTCAGATATGCTCTCCCTTCCAGAAGCCTCTCCATCCTTCACAGCCTGCCTCCACGAGGTGTTTAAATATAAAAGATGTTGCTCCACCAGTTGAGACTGGCCTTTAAGAGGGTGCACCCTCCAGCTAGGACTGAATCCTACCCTTCGCAAAGCTCTTTTCAGCTCTTTCAGAGACAAAAACCAAGCAGCTTTGTCAGTGTAAGTCCATTAAAAGAGCTTATTTGATCTGTCTGTTTTCATGCTCAAAATGCCTTTGGTCTCACTATCCCAACCATCTGCTCTCTTGTGACAGCAGCTCTGCCACCCTGCTGGGATCTGCCTTTGCTGCTGAGAAGTGGCAGCTTCTCTGCGGGAAGAAGAGCCGGCCTCCTTGGGAAGGTCTGCCAGGGAAGCACGGGTCAGCAAGACACCAGGAGTGTGCCAGAAATCCTGTGGCTACGTGGATCTCTGGCTCCAATATTGAGCTGCCGTGTGGAACTTGCCACTCTTTTCCCTGCCCTGTGCCTCGGTATGCGCTGCTCCGGATTATATTGGCAACGGAGAACTATCGCTGACTTGCCCTGTAGAGCACAAAGGGAAAGCGTGGCGTGGAAGTGAAATACTGATGGTAGTGAAATACCACCTAAGTCTGCTAAGACATCACCAGTATCTCTGACCTCACATTATGTTTCACTGTTCAGAGCCTCTCTTTTCACTATTTGGCTGTGGATGGCCAGAAAAAACACATGCACTTACAGCAGCAGAGATAAGCCAGGTACATATAAAATAGAAACAAGTGGAGGAAATACAAAATCAAACTGCGTTCCTCAAGAGCTGAGAGATCAACCACAGACAAGCTGCCGTAAGGTCCCAGCAAAACTGGAGAAACCTTTCAGTTGATCCCAGCATCAATTCATTGATTAGGACTTAGACACATCATAAAAGCTCTACGCATTTGATGTGCTACTGTACTTACACAATCAGAAATAAACCGATCCTAAAAGCCTTGTTTTGTGTAGGATCTGATTTTTTATTACTGGGTAACATGGTAACCAGGAGGGAGCGTAACTCTAGTTTCAATTGTCTGTGGATTACAGGCAGCCAAAAGCAATACAGATCTATAGGGAGCTGCGAACCTCTATCAGCACAATGAGAATGCTGTTTTAAAAGTACCCTAGCTCAGCCATAATGGCCATGTAAGATAAGAACACTGTGGGTTGAACCTCATAGCCCAAACTGTATCGCTGCCTACCTTCTGGTCAAACTGCAGCAGAACTTCATACGTCTGCTCTCATGTAGAAAGTCACATACTTGGAACGAAGACGGAAAGAAAGCACAACCTCAGCCTCAGCCAGCCTCACAACGGTCAGCTCCTATGGGCTGAACTTTTCAGGCTGATCTTCCAGACTTCTTGGTGACCAGCTCCGTGCCTCAATTTTCCATCACTCCCCTATATGGGCAGGGTGGCGGGGCTTTATACCCTTCTCAGCTGACCAGAAACACACAGAATCACTACTCTACACTTGATCTTAGCCAAAAGGCCGAGAAGCGATACACAGAGATACACAGAACACAGAGAAACCGTCTTGTCAGAAAGCCAACCCCAAACTACCACAGGAGCAGTAGCTGAAGTGCATAAATCGGCAATTAAGAGTTACTAAGTTCAAACATCCAACTGCTGTTATTAAGCATATCTTCTGTTCTAATCTTTAAAAAGAACAACGTGCTGAATTAACGCACAAGAAATCAAATTTGGCACGGTAAGGTAGCTGATGTAAAGGCGCTGTTGCCTGAGCCATTGCAATTAGCCTGATGGACTGAAGCCAGCGAAATACCCCCCTCGATGTCAGTCAGAAACAAAGCAGATGGGTGATCCTGGAGTCACAAGAAACACGACGCTGGTTTTGTTCTGGTTCTGGGATCGCAGAGGCTAATAACACCGAGCCCCCTGATGGTTAAAGCTAGCTGGCAAAAAAGCCTTGAGAAGATCTCTCCTAATCTTAGGCCGAGGCATAAACTATGGGAAATGCACAACGGATGGTAAAATGAGAACTTTTTCTTTCTTTCTCAGTTGTTTTACCCTTCGAATTACCCCAAACAACTCCTCGTGGCATGCAAGCTATTTGAGGTTGAGAAGCTTCGCGTCATCTGTAACAGCCTTAAGTTGTACCCGTTGGGCAAAACCCAGAAATCAAGCACAAAGCCAGGACAAAGCCAGTTCTCCTCCCCGCCTGCTGCACCTGCTGCTTTCTTTAGAGCGGCACTACCAGCGACGGACGCAGACCCCGCTGCCACAGGCCCTGTGCAAACGGTGAACAAAAAGTCTTCACCCCCAAAGAGATTACAGCTTGAAGGCTAAGACATAAAAGAACAGCTGAATGCACAGAGGCAGGCAGGGCTGGTTTTGTTCTCTCTGTGTTTTCACACAGGCAAAGGCAGGCAGAGCTGGCTGACTGCATTTGAACTTTTCGGGAGCAAAAAAAACAGCTGTAACTTTGCACTCGTTTCAGAAAGGTAGACATTTTTCTTCCCAAGGCAGCCCTTTGTCGCAATACTGGAAAACCCTGCAGGTCCCCCACCCATCGAGTTCCTTATTGCTCTCTGGAGCTCCCTGCCCCACTCGCGCACTGCACACACTGGGAGCTGCCGGGAACATGGCTGGTGACTTAGCTCTGCTCGCTGTCGTGTCTCTGCTTTCTGCCCTCCAGCAAGGTAGTTCCCCAGGGGCTGCAGGGCTGGGGCTCGGGAAGGTTTCCTCCTGTTCTGCAGCACTGGAAATTATTTTAGAACAAACTGGCTGCCCTGTAACTTTAACTTCTTGTGACTGCTCAGACTTCTCTTGGAAGAGCACTGTTTGCCCACTGTGCAGCAGCCCGGGAGGGAGTTGGCACGGTGGGACAGGCTACTTTTCCTTCTAGGACAAACGCATTTCTTTTCAATTCTGTTTGGTTTGCGGGCTCGCTGGAATCATGCTATTGTGAAAGCTTGCAACTATCTGTGAAGTTACCTAACAGCCGCGCCGTGTTTTGGTTTCGATTCTTACTTATGCAGCTATGCAACTGAAAACCTCAAAAAAGGAGAGTTGCTTTGTCAGATCGAGTACATCAATGCCGGACTGAAAGCACTGCTTCCTGAAATAGACAGACACGTGCTTCAGTATCTGAAAGGAAAGAGGAAAGTGAACCTTTATACCAGGCAGCAATAATAGAGATATTCTGCAGCATGTCCCCCTCAGTGCATTTCTCTAAGATATGCAAAATACCTTAAATATCTAAAATATGCACTTCACGGCTGCTGGCACACCGCAGAGAACCAAGGAGGTGGGCAGGTCTGTAACATCCCTGTGGGTCTGCTGGTGACTGTGGGAGCATTTTTAGTGCTTGTAATGATTTGCTTTGAGATACGCTGTAGTTGTGCTTGACACAGGAGTGTGAAGGGTTAAAGCCAAACCAAATCACAGTAACCAGAAGCCTCGTGCCTTTGGAAAACTCCACAAATTGTTCAGACCTTGAAAGGGGGAAGAGGAAATACATACGTTCTTCCTTGTGGTGGTTAATCCGTATTAGTTAAACCCGGTTAAAATCACCAGCGGGTCAGGATAACTCCAGCCCAAGCTGAGCTGTTCATTCGATGTAAAACATGGCAGCTCGGTTTACTCCCAGCACGTGCTGCAGTACAGGTGAACCAACACAGATGAATTGCTGTGAGTCCAGCTGAGCGCCGTGTTGCCTGACCTCAACGTGGTGGTAGGGCTGAGGTAGGGCTGCGGCAGCACCGCTGCTGTAGGCCTGGGCTGTGCAGGTCTAGGACTTGGCTATTCGGTTCCTAAATAGTGTCAGTGAATACAGAAAGGGGAAAAATACATTTCTGAAACAGCGGTTTTGCAATTTTCTCCCCTTTCTCAAGAGTAAGCCACACTTGAAGGCGTGACCTGAACTTCTGTAGGGAAAAAAACAGTTTTAGCTAGTAGCCATCTGATTAAAAAAGCCAAAGAACAATGATTGCTTTAAAAAAAAAAATAAAAAAATAAGTGTGTTAGAGACTCACCTGAACCGTTCTTCTTAAATGAGGAGAACTGTGCAATCCACAAGCCCTTATTTTTGCTTACAGGTTATTTTGCTCAGCTGGTGGGAAAATCAAGAATGAAGCACAAGGTCTTGCCCCCGGCTGTCACTGGAGCTCCAGAATTTGAAAGAACATTTCGTGCACAGTAAGTCCTGACACCACGGAGACGGTGGCAATGAATAACAATTCAATCCGGAAGAGAAGCGAAAACATTACCTTCAGATATTACATTTGTAATTGCATCCTCTGCTCAGAAAAAAAAAAGAAAAAAGAATGAAGAGAATGCTTTTCAAATGGTGAGGCTATTATTTTATGACAATGGGGTACATTCAGCTAATTTAAAAGTCCCCATTTGAATTCTGATGAAGATGGGCCATCAGATCCCCCAGTCCTCAGCAAAGGCTCAGAACTGGTTGGCTGCACCTTACAGAATTCAGCGTGCTGGCATGAAAATTGACGATGCTGACAAAGACATTAAGGTCCTAATCGTAAGAAAATCCATAGCGTGCTGCCTGTGCCTGGTTGCACTTTGTAAAGGCACTTGGCCTCAGCGGAGCAACCTGGACTGCCTGCATGTGGCTCTGTGCCTCCTCCTGCAGTCCTAAAGGATCTGGCTGAAGTCCTGCTGACCCACAAAACTTGCTCACTGAGCAGGCAGATAAGCAGTCGACACCATATCTTTGTGCTTGAACTCCTGCCTGCTCCTGCTGTACTGCTCCCTTGAGTTAAGATATTGGTTAAGCACTTCCTTGTAGGTGGGATACAAAACCTTAAATACGAGGAGACATTTGAAATCGATTGTATTTATACTGAGATTACAAGAAGGGAATGTTTAAGAGCACCTAAGGCTGGCTTGAGCATGCTCCTGCTGAATTCAAGAGCATTAACTTTGGTGGGAACAAAGTGAGGCCAAAGCTGATTCTCCTTAAAAAAATCTCTCTCACCCACGGTCCTTTCCCTTTCCAGAATAACTTCATGTCAAATTTATCCCACAGACAAAACTGTGCAGAGTTTTACCCCGTATTCCAGACTCTCCTCTGGATCGCAGGATGGTTTTGCAATCAAGGTAAGGAGTTCATGCTACCTATTGGACTGCAAAGACGTAAAAATCAGCTTTAATGGGAGGTAGAATTATGCAGACCTCCTTTTGCCTTCCCTTCATTGCGTTGCCTTATCCTAGCCTTCCTGAAGGAGGGCTCGATGGCACTGCAGTGAAGTGCCATGACAAAACAGTCATGGCTTTTCACACAGCCCCACCAGCTTTCGCTTTTCTTGCAAATCACAGAGCCACGACATGGCACATTTCTCATTCACAAACCCACTGAGGATTTTCCGGGCCAATCATTCAGAAAAGGCAACTCCCAGATGTTTCCCACTAACAATTACGTGCGCATTATAGGGCAGTTCTCACAGGACATCAAACACAGCTATGGTCCCTTGTTCATTCGGGGACATGGCGCTAAGCACCGAAGAGCAGTCAGCACACAACATCTCCAGCCACACATGGTTACTGTCCCTCAGGTATGTGGGCAGACTTGTTAAAATCTGTTGTGTTTCTCACATACCTACGCAGGCTGGCATTTTGGCATTAAAAAAAAAAAAAACAAAAACCAAAAACCAAAAAACAAACATTTCATTTTGGGGCTCCCTTACAGACAGATTCCCATCTCCATTACACTGAGATAAATCCGGAGCAGCTCCACTGCTGCTGGATGTGAGATGGTACATGTGCTCCTAAGCAGATACTTGAGTCAGGGAAGATGCATGCTGTCATATATAAGAGGAGAACTACTTTAACTCCACTTTAAGTCACTTTTACAGCAACTCCCACAGGCCTGTATGCAGGAATTAATCCAGAGCAGAGGAAAAGCTGTCCTCCCTAATATTTGTGTGGTTGGAAAGGACACCAAATTCACTGGCACTGCTTAGTGCTGGGCAACGCAAGTGGCCGCACAGCCTGCTCCATCCATCAGAATTATCTTCATGCTTTTCCCACAGGGAGATCGGAAAGTTGACGTGCACTACAGCTTTCTCTCCTGTCCTTGGATAAAAGCTGCTATATAAATGCAAAGCAGGTTACTAACAACATAAATAAGATTCTCTTTCCTAAAACAAACATTCCCCTTGAACACGAACTGCCGTAATGATACCAAGTGACAGCTGGGTCAAGCCGAAGTGCTGCAGCCCACTGCCCAGTTCCTGGGACAGCCCCCAGATATCTAAAACGACTGTCCGCAACTGTCCTCACGTTTCCCATTACTTGTTTCTTAGAACTAGCCTCCTTGCTGGGCCTGCTGTACATGTACGCTCGCCACAAGTACTTCCACGGCTATGCGGAGTCTGCATCAAAAAGGTAAGGAGCTGCGTGCAGGTTACAGACCCCAGCTGTAGCCTGAGCTGGGCTGGGAGCTGAGGCCTGGCAGCGAGACGTCACTGCAATTGAGTGCAACGCGTACAGCATGCCAGCAAGAGAGCTGAAGCAAAGGTCCTGGGGAAGGAGGGCTGGCTGTGACAGGGGAGCCTTGGGGTAAGGTGTGCACGCGCTGCAGGTGATGGGAGGAAAGGTTTGACGCCCACCTCACAGGGGCCTGCTTTGTGCTGAGCGGACGGGCAACCGCACTCAGAGGGCCGAAGGCAGAAGCAGCTCTGCAGCTTCTTGTGAAGGAGGCAAGGCACACACAGCACCGGCTTGTCTGCTGCTTCATTTTTCCTCAGCTTATCACAACAAGAACCTTTATCCATACAAAGTGCACTCGCAGAAGCAAACGCATCTGTCCTTGTAGGCTGATAAACTTTGACCAAATAGATAAGAGGCACAGCTTCAGATAAGTGTATGTTAATGAATGTAAATGCATTGCATGTAGCGACATGAATCCTGCTACAACAAACACACGCATCAGCAGAACACCCCGCTGGTGTGCAGGCACACTCCAACACGCCGCTTCTCGTTTTGCTGAAGGCACAGCACTACCTGCTGTTTCCTGACCCAGGGCTCCCACTAAGAGATGCAGTGGCCCAAACGATACAGAGAGCACTGACCGGAAGACTGGTGACTGTTAAGGAAGTCTAGGGAGCAGAGCCTTCGAAACAAATGAACAAGGAGAGCACAGCACACTTTCATTCAACAAACTAAAGAAAAAACAAAAAACAAAAACAAATCTTTCCCATGCTTCACTTCAGCACTCTGGGCTTAAAAAATCACCCTTACAAGGACACCCAAGGATAGCAGCTTGCTTCGTTATCAGACAGAGCCTTATCCCCTCGTGCACCTGAAACTGAGGAGGTCTTACACTCACCGTTTTTAAACCCTTGTTTTGCACACCCCATATGGGGAGGCTGTATGTATCAAGCCTCTAGTCACCAGTGAGGTTCTCAGGCTCCACAGCCAGCTGCTGAATACCCAACCACTGCACTTCTGTAGGCGTGGGCAATAATGGACTATAAACCCAAGTCCAGCAAGCTCCTCAGATATCTTTCCAGTGCTTACGCGATGGCCTGTCCTCACTCGCTCTGCCTGCAGAAATCAATCCTGCAGCAACTCCCAGTATCTGCCTACCTGACCAGAGTCTGCTCCAAGGCAGCTAAGAGCAAAGAAGAGTGCATGCTGTTATTGTGTGCCAGCCACACGCTGCGCTTCAGGGCTGAAGAGCTCTCCAAGCACTCCCTGAGATTTCTACTTTAAAATCACAGAATGGCTTGGGTTGGGAGGGATCTCAAGGAACGTGCGTGGGTCTGGCAAAGGTCAGGTCAGGACCCTGAACTTTGGGAGAGCAAAATTCAGGCTGCTTAAGGAACTGTTGTATGAGATCTCCTGGGAAGCTGTCCTTAGAGACAAAGGAGTGAAAGAAAGCTGGCCGCTCTTTAAAGATACCTTTCTGAGAGTGCAAAACCTCTCCATCCCCCAGAATAAGACAGCAGTCAGGGGAGGCAGGAAGCCCACATGGCTTGGCAGGGACCTGCTGTAAGAAACCGTACCAGCTGTGGAAACAAGGGCATGTCACCTGGGGAAAATGCAGGGATGCTGTCTGGACCTGCGGAGAGGGGTTAGGAAAGCCACGGTGCAGATGAAACTGAAGCTGGTGAGAGACGTTAAAAACAGCAAGAAAGGGATTCTATAGATACGTTGGCCAGATCAGGCAGGCGAAAGGGAGCTTATCTCCTTTGGTAAATGAGAAAGGAGAACTGGCTATGACAGATACGGAGAAGGCTGAGGTACTCAATGAGGGGTGTTGGAACTTGATGATCCTTGGGGTCCCTTCCATCCCAGGCAATTCTGTGATTCTATGACCTCAAAGCCCATCCAGCTTCAACCCCCTTCCATGGGCAGGGCTGCCACCCCCAAATGGCAGCCTGTTTCAGCACCTCACCATCCCCAGATGCCAGCCATACACTAGATGGAGTCTCATAAGGGCAGAGAAGAGAGGGAAATTCACCTCCCTTGATGTGCTGTCCATGCTTAATAACATTATTTTTGAAAAAATTATTCTGATCCTCTCCCAGCACGAATGAGTGCCCTGATAGGTGAGTTTTAGGAATATATTGTTCCTTTTCAGTCCCCTAACACTGGACTCCCTTCAAGTCAAAGTAATAACCAAAAGCAGACCTCCCAGCTCAGCAGAGAGTATCTGACAAAGATGCCTCCTTGGGATGAAGTAGTTCATATCAGAAAAAGTTCTCAACTTCACATAAGTATCAAGGAACACTGGGGGAAGTATGTTCCTCTAGAGAGGCCATTAGGAATCACTTTCCTCCCTAGCACACGTTACATGTGGGAACGGTTCTACTGCCGAAACACCCGAGGTGTTGTTCCGACAGTGATCCTTTCCACCGAGCACGGCTCCTCTTCACTGAGGTAGACAGGCAGCTGGTTTCACTGCAAACACACCGTGTACAGCTCGTAACAGCTTTTTTTATCTGCTTTCTACTTCTAGGTTAACGGGGTTTTTTTTGAGTCTGATAGTTCTGGCTTGCTTGGCAATCCTTGGTGCAGCTGGGATCGTTAACAGCTTTACGGACAAATACCTGGGCTTCAACATTGGGAAGAAATTACATAAATTGTTCTGAGTACTTTAAAACAAAATAAAACCCCCAAGTAAATAAAACCCACAAGCTCTCCCTGGACACCAAGATGATGATAAGCTGTATGTAAATAAGGGATCAGAATTCTCCATTAGCATTCCATTGCAACATTAAACGTTGTGCTTTTTCTGCGCTGTTTACACTTGCTCCTTTCCCTGTGCTCCTGAAAAGAATTTGCTAAGACAGAATGGTGCATCACATTGGCGTTCTCTATTTACACAGTCTGTCTTCCTATGCAGTATTGCAAACTCAAAACAAATCGCAAAAAAACAAAACCCATTAATTCACCAAGTAACTCGGCTCCAACTGACACTGCAAGCAACAGCCCGCCTTACCCAGCATCCTCTGGCTTTGTCGATGCCTCTGAAGCCTTCCTTCACTCTTCTTCACTCCCAGCAGCAGCAGCCATCCTGCACGACGGGCCGCTCTAATGCTCTGGAACTACAGAGAAGTGAAGACCATGACTGACTGTTTTGGTAGATCGTGATAATTCAAAGGACTTTGGCAATGCTGGATGCATTCATGCTAGAGCCAGCAGGCAGAAGCTCTCTCTGCTGTGCCTGGTGCACAGTTCAGCCAAACTGCATGTTGATAGTTCTGCTCAGTCAAGTCTACATAATGAACACTTACTGTCTTCCTAGAAGTCCACTCGGGTTGGCAACCTGAGTACTAGCGAGCATTGGCTTGGGTTCATCGGCACCTTTCACACAAAAAAGGGGGACGCAGTGCATGTGCAGAAGTTTGTCCCTCCCAGATGCTGTAACATGACTTAAAGGCATACCTTAGTGGCTGCAAGTGGTGACAGGGGATGGGGCAGTTGAAATAATAAAATGAAATGTGTACACGGGGGTGGGACTTGAGGGCAATAGCAGCTGCTGAGCTCAAAGTACAGATCATGGGGGTGAGCAGGCGAGAGCTGACACAGTTGTAGAAAAGGCAATTCTCTGGCACGTGGTTCCAGGGAAAAAGCAGAACAGAGACAACAGCCACAGAAGTCACTGGGAATTCTTCCACAGCTTCCCTCTGACAGGCAAAAGGACAGCAAATCTACCTGCCAGTGATGCCTTGAGGCAGTCGCGGGCAGCAAGAAAAAGAAGGCAGGTGTCTCAATCACACATCAGGCTTGAAACACGTAATAGAGGAGACCCAAAGGCTGCTAGTAGTGTTCATGTAGGTCCTTGCTTCTGAAATTATTCTGCACTAAGCTCACCTGTTGAAATGCACTGGCATGCTTATGCATAGCTACCCCTTCCCCATCTACCCCAGGGGAAGGAAGAGGCAACACAAGGACAGATACATGTGCCAAAAAAGGTGGATGTAAGGCTGCCAAGTGCCATATAGTAGCACAAGCTGTAATAGTGTGGGATACACGCGGCCTCAGCTGCTCAGAGCTGCATTTACCATAGCACCGGACTGACATGAGGAGAAGAGGGCAACTCACCTTAAGGTCTGTACTTGGACCAAGCCACACCGGCAGCTCAAACACACAGGGTTTCTGTAAGCTGCACTAGCTTGAAGCACCCAGTGTGTGCTTCACTATGACTCCCCGGGGCGGGGAACAGGAGAGAGACGTGCCAAGCCTTGAAAGCTGCACAACATGCTTGTCTTACACAGGTCACGTAAATACAACAAGCCTGTATGCACTTACCAAAGGGTTTCTGGCCACAAAACCTCACAGTGGAGCAGCAGGTTGGGGAGCTGCTGTGAACACGCCTTTCCCTCGCTTCCCCAACTCATCTTTCTACCTCCTACATCCAACCCCACGTCTCTCTCCTTCCCTCCCATTTCACCTCTCCAGAGCACAGCTGCAGCACTCCAACACCTTTCACCCCGTGTCCTCCCCAAAAGCACTTCCTTCCTGCACGCAGCGGTCACTGAGACCGAGAGATGCTGCCTCTGGCGGTGGCATAATGAAGGACCAGCTCACCTGTAGCAACCGCTCCAGTACAGAGTACAAGAAACCTAGTCTCACAACACCTGGAAGTAACGAGAGCCTTCCTTGCTCTTATGAAAGGGACAGAAGGGCCTCAGAGCAATAGCACACAGCTGAGCTGCCAGCCCCCAGCAGCGCACTGCACTCACCTGCGCTTGCTGCCTGCCTGGTAAGCGACATCTGGGGCAGCGTCACGGGAGCGCCGCAGGAGCAGAGGGCTGAGAGGTGATCTCACAGACCAGCCTTGCATAGGACTCAGATAACCATCTTTTATTTTATTCGTTTGCTTGGTGTTTTTGTTTTTTTTTTTCTTTTCTTTTTTTCTTTAAAAGTGGTATGTTAACATCAGCTTTTTTCTACATTTTCAGAGCTCTGTACAGGTCTTAAAAGGAAATAAGCAATGCTTAATGTACAAAGTAAAAACAGAAAACTAGAAAAATCTGAATAAAATGGAGCAAGTTGCCATCAGGGATACAGTACAAATTAGTAATCAGACATCATCTGAAGTGCAATACCACTGCAGTAAGGATGAGTTAAGGAATGAAATAAAAATACTCTATTTTAAACAAACAGTATATATATATATTTTTATATGTATATATTTTACAGATAGTAGACCCAGTGATATCTGTAGAATTGTAAAAACATATTTACAAATAACTTTTTTTTTTTTTTTTTAATATTACATATACATCAGCACCATAGTAAGGAGGAAAAAAAAAAACCAACCAAAAAACCTCAAATCTATTAAAATCTACGTCTAGTACTTGGTCCCAGTACGGAGTATTTGGAGGAAGCTTTGCAAAGACAACAGCTCGCTGCTGGCCACCGTCCACACGCAGAGCTGCTCTTCCCAGTGGCCCGCCTGTGCCCCCACGCTGCTCCCTTGCCCCTGTCCCTCAGGGTGCTGCCACTGTGGGCTGTCCCTTCCCTCACGCTCGTCCCCACAAGAGTCGTCTGCCCACGGCGTGGCTGTGAGCTGAGAACTTTGGCTGCTGCTCTCGCTCGCTGCACTGGGGCCTGACCCGGCTCCTGCTGCAGCAGCGGACAGACAAACCTCTGCCATCTTTGGCAGCGACCGGAATGAGACCTCGTGCTGAGCTTCAGAATGGGGTAAGCGTGACCCACCCCAGTGGGCAGCTCTCAGCTAAGGAGGTGGCAGGTTTTGGAGGGCAGCTCTCCTTGGCTCGGGCCCCCGCTGCATCAGGCAATCAGAATGGCCAGCGTCTCTGTGGAAGACGGATCACCCCTTCACTGCAGTGCTCTCGGCACCGGTCCACACAGTGGAAATAGACAGTGGAGACGGTGATACGTCACTGTTACCTAAAAGCATATTTAGGCAGACTCGATGTTTTTGATGCCTAAATCCGCTATTTTAGCCATTCATTCATGCTCTTCACTGTAGTCCTTCCTTGGCTCCCATTTTTCAAATACTGCAGTGAATGTTATTCCAGCAAACAAAGGAGGTTAGACCACCGCTTGCTTAAAACAGAAGACCAGGTGGCACTAAATGTCAGGTTGAGAGCCCATGCACGCCAACCTGCTAAGCCTGCGTTTTGCAATATGAGAGGAGGAACTCGTTCCTGCTTGCCAGACCCTCCCCGCACATCTTCTCCTTCCTGCCTTCTGATGCCCTTCCTGCCCCTTTGTGAAGAAAAGCGCAGTGACTTTAGTTTCTTTTACACTGACAGATGGGAGGGGGACGTATGAAAACATACCCGGGATGGAGGAGAGACAGGGACCTCCTTAGGACTTTCGCTGGTGTCCCCTGGTGCCTTGAAGCCCTTTAGCATCTCTCTCAGCTCTGTTCTGCAACCCGGGCACGCAAAGTGCTCTGACAGGGAAGCACTACTGCAAGTCCCTTGGGGACTAAATAGCTCCTTACACAACCCGCTCCCTAAATCCATCTCCAGCAGTGGTCCAGTAATCAAACTGTCCTCACTGCGCAACCACATTCACGTTCTCTTACACTCCTACTGGATTTTTATCACTCTGCAGTGAAAATGGTGACCCCTCTGTGACTGTTTAGGTTTGTCACATGTACGCCCCTCGCAGCAGTCCAGAGCCTGGCCATGGTTCGCTGAGGCCTGCCGACACCAAGGCTGGTTGTGTGTGGTCATCGGTGGGCTTCTTCGGGCTTCCATCTGCTACCCTGAAAGCCGTGGCCTTCGCAGTTACGTGAGGTGGGACACATCGGGGCTAGGCCATACTGCTGTGCAAGGAAACCTCATTTCAGCAGAGAAAGACCACCCTGTTCCCTTTCAGAAGCATCAGCTGGCTTTTCCAGTTTCCCCATCCTGCCCTGCACCCACGCAGCAGGTGCTGCCACGCAGTGGAGACTGCCTGTGGAAGTCTTGTGATACCAATGTTCTCAGCATCACCCGAACCTTCCCAAGTTGGCTACAGATCAGCTCGATTTGCACGATTAAATACAAAAGAAAACAAACGGAAGAACCCAAACCAATTCAAACAAAAAACCCCAACGATCCGAGGATGGGGAGCACATCCAACCCTCTCTTTGATTTCTTCAAACGGAACAACCCAAACTCCAGACTATACAAGCCCATTCACTGGGGGTTTCCGAACAACTCATCGAGTTCCTGTATCCACTCATCCCCTGGTCCGCTCTTGACGATGGAGTCCACGAGGTCTGCGCCCTCTGCTAAACTGGAGAACGAGCCCCCAGCTCCTTCGTTACTGTAGCTGTAAGATATGTCCTGAGTGGGATTCCTCTCATAGGCCTGGCCTTGGCTGCTCGGAGCAAAGCTACCACCTGGCATCTGCTGCGCGGAAGGCTGGCTAAAACCAGACATGGTGGGGACCCCCTGGCTTATTGCAGGCATCACCATCGGCCTGGCCTGGCTGGTTCCCTGCTGCCCGGGCAGCGGCTGCAGCAACTGTCTCCCCATTGCCGGGTTCAGGGCTCTCACCGTTCCGCTCGTGTCCACAACTGTCTGGTTAAGTCCCTGTGGGAAATGCTGCTTGGGCAGCCGAGGCTGCCCAGACTGCATCGGATACGCTGTGCCGTTATTGAAAGGCCCAATTTCGCCGCTAGTCCTTCCGGGTATACCTTGTAAGCCTCGCTGCTGCCAGTTCTGCGTTCCCTGAGGGACGGTTCCCATCAGGCTCTGAAGCCGTGGTGCTTGCGGCCTGGGTAAGACCTGGCCCACCGCTCCTTTCATCTGCTGTTGATGCTGGGGAAGAGCAGAGTTTACGAGCATGTTCTGACCAAAACTGCTGACCATTCCCACCACTTGTCCAGAGGCAGTCTGCCTCGTTGCCTGGCCTGCGTTATGCGCCATGTTCATGCTGCTTTGGTTTGGGTGCTGCAACATTTGGCTCATCCCTGTGCTCATGCTGTACATTCCCGGCTGGCTGGAGGAGGCGTTGCTGTAAGGAGCCATGCCCAGGTCTGACTGGCCCACCGTGGTGGGCAGCGTGCTCGGGTTCTGGGAGGGACCCATTGCCATCATGCTCGCGCTCTGGGCCATCATTCGGGACGTCCTCATGCTCTGGAGCGCTACTTGGTTTCTTGCAGCTGCTATATCCTGGGGAGAACCTGTGCCAGAAAGGGAGCAAGGTGAGAAAAAACACGATCCTGTAAATCTTACACAAATCAACACGTCCGTGCTGACAAGAGAATCTGTAGGAGCCTCCTGCACAACAGCGGGATTTCAGTTTGCTGTGCTTTTCCCGTGAATAAATTACTG